TACTTACTTTTACTAAAAGAAAGAAAAGACTTTTAAGTCGCTATGTTGCATGCATTTTTGACAGCATTTCTTTAGAAACAGCACTGTAAGAAGCAGAATTGAGAAGTAGGTAATTAAAACTACACCCAAGCCTAAGATGCGTGAACATAGGTAATTGCAGATTAATATTCCACTTTAATACTTACGCTGAGTTAAAGTTGCCATGGGAAACAAGCCTGAATTTCTTTATTTTTCAGCAACTCATGATCATCTTCAATAAAGGTTCTGGCAGGTGATTTCTAGTGCATTGAGCTTAATAGCCAAACCAGTGCAAGAAGAAAGCTGCTACGTGGGATTGTCCAGATAGAACAGGCAGGTACAGGCACACATATGTCCTTTATCTGCCTCTGGGTAGGATTGTGACAATGTCTGTTACTGTGTGAGACATCTGCATTCCCATCCTGGCCTTCAGCTGGGATTGCCTTGATGCAATCTCCATAGAAAATGACGTGGAAAGCACACACAAGCTACCTTGCAGCTTGCTTCCCAGAAGATGGGCCATCCCCCCGTTGCCTCCTCCTGCAGCAAGTTTGCGATTTCAAGGACAAATTCCTCCTACAAAGTAGCTCCAGCTGTGGCTCCCAAGGCAGCTTCTCTATGCTCTATCTAGTCACCTTACGCAGAGAGCTTGGCAGGGACTGCACATCTGTTGATATGGCCTAAATTTGGTGGAAATCAACATCCATTCCCATTACAAGGTCAGTCTATAAATCACAGCACCTCAGGAGCAGAGACACACGACTCGGTTGTCCCTGCTGCAGTAACAAGATCGTGGATAGAGCAGGACAGGCAGCTGTACAGATCATCACAGCCACTCCAGCTGTACATGCCCATGACTGTGAGCTGGATGTGAGATGGATGTTCAAGGGAAAACACGTGTAATGCTCTTTTACGGCAGCACTCAAGGAAATACAGACTGAACCCGATATAACCTTCTGCATTTGTACTTAATATTATCTTACAGAAAGATTGGCTCCTATTTGTAAATACACTTTTGCCAATCACAATATGTATTATGATCATCCAGAATTGTTTGAACACTTAAATTAGTAACTGAACATCTGCTTAGTCAGTGTCAGTGTTTATGGTGAAACAGTGAGTGATGTTTTGTATTTATTAGTATATCCAGTTTCATTTTGACAGCAATTATAATTAAAAACGCTCCCAAAATAACAAACTAAATGTGTGCTGAACACAGTTGAAGTATCTAGGATACACTTACAAAAAATATCAAGATATTTTTGCATTTAAAAAGTACTGCTTAGGAGGACACAGAAAACATTGTCTGTAAACAATTTATTCTTCTGCTTCTGGTCACAACCTTCTTCAGCAATGAGAAGATCTGAACATTTCATATTTTCCCTTTATAGAGAGTTTGAAAGATGCAAATTTCTGCTTCCCAAATGATTACCAATTTGAGTGAAATCTGAGACACTGAAGACCTGAAAAAACTGACATGAGAAAACACAACTTTATCATTACCAAAAGCTCATTTAGCAGCTTAGCAGCTCCTAGATCCAGCTCCTTCTACCAGGTCAGAGGTCTGATGCTCTTTTACACTTCCAGGCAGCAGACATACAGAGCTTGAATTTTATTTGATTTTCATTTAAGTGGCTTTAATAGATTAGAGATTAATATCATATATAGAAGGCTAATTTCAAATTCAGCTTTGAACAGATCTGATTTCTACCTTCAGACTTTTTATATTTAAAACAAATAATTTCTTTTCAACCACTCGGCTGAAGTTGAAGGCAAGATACTTGGCTTGCTGACTGAAAGAGACACACCTCCTTACTGCATTAATAAAGGCAGCCACAGATCTAAGTCTGTGGAGCTGCTTAACATTGTCATTGAAAGCACTGACCACTATAAACACTGGTGTCTACAAGGACAAAGGGACAAAAGAGCAAGACTCTCACTTATTTAATGCATCTTCTCATGAAGCTAAAGCTCCATATGTACCCAGCTCTATGGGCTGACAGTGTATAAAAGCATAAGGTACTTATAAACTTTTACCAGAGAGTAAAGAAAAAACTCAGAGCTGAAAAATGAAACACACCACCACTGTTCAGGGTCCACTGACCTCCGCAGAATGACAGCTCCCAACTGACCCCATTGGGCTTCGGATCACATTCCAAAGGCGCAAGGTAAGCTTTAAAGAGATGCGAGAGGCCAGCCATAAACATCTCTTACTGCCAACCCCTAATGACCTTTGGCTGGCTAAAACACTACATGACACATACTGTGCAGTTAAAACCCCCCACACCTTCTTTTCTCTCTGGGATGGTCCCATTATTCATGCATACATCCAGAAAACCAATAAAGCTAAGCGGTTTCTATGTGTATATAAACAAGCATTTGGATGGAGGGGCGTATCTTCTGAAAGCAGTCAGAAATCAGGGCTGCAATGATGCTCCCATTCCTTTGTGGGTTTAGGGCAGGGAACATGAAGGACCCTCGATGCCCAACACAGGAGTGAGTGGTAAAGCACAGGGCAGCAGCCAAAAGCACTCAGCCAGCAGTCCCAGCCACTGGAGCCACAATGCAGATGGCTTCCCAGGGGAATACCACTGTCCTTGACCCTCCTTGATCCCCATTACAGAGGCCATAGCAAGAGACCTCAGAGAGAGATCAGGCAATGTGAAAGGGAATGGAAATGAAGGGGTCTTCAGGGCTCACGAATGAGCATGAAGGACTTCCCCAGGGATAAAGTCAGTAAGGCTGCCAGTTACAGAGGAGCACGAGTAAATACAATGGGAGGGGGAGCAGATGTGGCACTCACACATCTTAGTGTACATAAAAAGATAGCTCTTTCAGTAGTTTCTTGTAAGAAGCCAGAATATTTTGAAGAGCAGTGAGTGAGAAATGTGAAATGTGCTGTATAGGTGGCAAGTGAACTCTTGTAAGATTTTTAGGCTGAACTGGCTAAATTTACAGCTATGCCTACTCACTTAAAGTAACATAGATTACAGCTTAGCTTAGCTCTGTATGCACAGCCTTCTCATCAAATCCCAATGCATTTGAATTTCATAGTATCTAGACTTCTATTTTGCAAGTATTAAAATAAAAGCAAAAAAAATTATCAGTATCACAGTGAAGATCAGCACCTAACCATTTCTAGCTCCCAGCTCTGGCCTCATACCAAACCTGTCTATCAATCCCATGGTGAAAGATCCTGTCACTAAAACTTTGCAGAAAACATCGCTGAAATGCATGGCACAGTTTGCTCACCATGACATACAGCCTAGCAGTGAAGAGGACAAAAGCCATGCTGGTCAGCAAAGACTTAAGAGGAAGGTAAGGACATCAACTGAAGCCTCATTTTATTAAGTTTCCCAATTTTGGCAGGCACCTTCAGCTTTTCCAGCTACATTGAGCCCCATGTAGCAAAAGTAATTTCTTTATTTGTCAAACTAATTTGTTGGTGAGGATGTGAGGGACTGACAGCCCTTTCAACACATTATATGATGCAGACAGGCACTGAACACAGCAGACTGGAAAAACAACACTGAAGAACATCTCCACCTTAAAGGTGCCATCTCACCAACAAAATATATAGCAGATCTGCATTGGCCCAGACCATTACTTTCCCTGGCAAGGACTTGGGGACAAAGCTCCTTAAAACAGTAGTAATCATATTCCACTCATGCTCCTTTTTACTGCCAGCTGTAAACTAGCTCCACATGCATCATGGTTTTGCATCAAAATGTGCACAGACCAAGCCCATATCCAAAGGGACAAGGTAGATCCAATTTACAGCTTTGACAGGTCTGTGCACCCGAGGCAGAGCATGCAGGAAATAGCCTGACATCTCACTTGGAGAGCAGTTAAGAGTCTGCTAGTAGAATTGGATGCAGAGCCACAACAGCCTCCCACAAAGAGCCAGCAAAAGAGCAGGGAATTTGCTATACATTTTTCAGGAAAGATGAAGACCAGGCAGCACCCACCAAGGCACTACTGGGGAAGAGAGGAGTCAAGTTTGATCCTAACTTGCAGCAACCTTTTGTTAGGACAAGCTCAAGGGAAACCACAGTGGCACTGGGAAATGAACACGATGCATTGAGTCACTTCAGTAATGAGACACCACGCTGAAAACTGCTTAAGCCTTTCATTTAGTCAAAACAAAGCAAAAGGAAGTTTTTGTGACCCAATGCAGGTATTACCAATATATGCACACCAATTACTTGGCAGAGGAGGTTGAGTCCACCTTAGACTCAGAAATTCTGTTTGTTCACTACCAACCTAGTATCGGGGATTTTTTTCTTTTTAGTACAGTTTTCCAGTTGAAAACCTGGGCCCATCCTGATGAGAATATTTTTACTAATCTGCTCTACAGTACTGTGGAAGAACTGTTTGCAGAAAAGCTCTGTACTTCATCTGGATCTCTGTATATCTCAAGTGGTAAAGTGCTGAAAGATCTCTCTGAAGCTGAACTCTTCCTGTCTCATTACACTCCAGGGTTAAAACCCAGGCAAGATACCTGATCTTGCTGAAATTATCTAAAAACTGTTTTTCTTCTCTACTTAGAAATTCCATTATGTTGCACATATTCCCATCATTTAAAATATTCTTTTCCTAAAGCTGTTCACTACCAATAGCCTTTTTCCTTGCAGAATTAAACATGGCTGCCATTTATCAATGCAAGTTTCCAGCCAAAAACTTTTAGACTCTTCCCAGGTCAGACAAATCACAAGTATACATGACTTAAAAGTTGTTTTCAATAACACATGAATTGTCACTTCCTTGATGGAAATAAGACTTCTTTATTCATTCCCACCAAATAGTCCAGAGATTACTCCTGAGACAGCAGGTGACTGGCAAGAGCTCTGGAGAACCAGCAACAGAAAGGAGGTGGGACAAACCAGAAAAGATTAGTGAGCCAGTACTGTGTTTTTAATTTCTACCTCTCAGAAGAGCAGCAGGAAGTTGCAAGGCAATAATTAACAGGATTAGTTATTTACCTGAGGATGAATCTGCGGTTTATCACACGTAGCCTCAAAATCCAGCACTAAGAAGTAGTGATATCTCTGTGGAGGGAAGGATGACATTGCTGCCATGGAAGCTCCAAAGCCGTGGGACGCCAGTTTCCTGCTTACGATGGAGCTGAACCCTTTGAGAACACCAGCTGGGAAGAGGGGGGACACAGCTTGTCTTGACCTTGAAAGTAAGTTTTGGGGAAACTTTGCTGCTCCAGTATGGAGAAATGCTATCATTGAACATCCAGAGGCATCTGAAACTGAAGAGAGACTCATGTTACTCATGCACACATATCATCTCTACTGGTATCTGCATCCTCCTCTGACAGGGATTCCCTTTGTGCTTCCCAGTGGAGAGTGGAGGTTTCAGCATCGCAAACCTGAAATAATAGAGCGACCTGCTCTAAGTGCAACAGATGACATTTGGATTGAGCTTAAGGTGTCCAGAATCACAGGCAACTGAAAATTAACCTCTGCAGATGACTCTAAATTAAGAACTATGAGATACACAACAGTCATGGCTCCAGGCACCAGATCACACCCCACTGCTGAACCTCACTATAGCAGAACATAACACAAACCAACTAAAACACAGAATATCCAGTCTAAGCCCTGTTGAAATTTCTGAGGCCTTTTATCTTTTCATATACAATGCAGTTTCTGGTGCATAGTAAAAATTAAACGCAGCAATACACATTCCAACACTACAACTTATCCAAACAGCTTGGCCCTGAAACATCTGCCAGTTGCACCAAAATATGGCACTTCCATTACAAATCCAGGTGCCCCGTGGCTGGAAGGCTGCTCCCCAGGAAAGTTCTCATTTGCTTTGTATACGAGGCTTCTCAGAGATGTCATTTTAGTGCTACACTCCACTTCTTACTTCAGGTATTTCTCTCAGATGGGGATATCAGTTCAAATAATCACACACAAGAATTCTATAGGCTACAGACTTCCTCCCAAAGAAATACCTCACTCAGTCATCACCTTCTGATACTTTTATTTAACAAACACTATTTAATAAATTGCATTATCCCTGAGACTACCAGGATTTCCCCTCCTGCTACTTTTCTTCTAAAACTTTTCTAAAGGAAAAAGTTGCCAGGATTGTAACTATCCAAGATGGGTCAGCCTCAGGGGTGTAAACAGATCTAGAGAGATGAAAATTCAAGACCAGCTTATGGTGGGTACAGGGATCAATAGCTACACAAGCAAATTGCACCAACTCAGTCCTCTTCAACAAGGATAGGAGTACCCCTCTAATTGTGTGTGCATATACATACACACAATCTTACAGATATTTAAATCTATCCCCACAGTTGGTCCCACTGCTCATGGAAGGACTCCATCACTTGACATGCCACCCACCTGCCCTTTTATGAGCATGGCCAACCCCCACCTGTGCTGGCTTTTTGCTCTACCATAAAGGGATGGAAGCACCCACTGTGAGACATAGAGACAAAGTGGCCACAGCAAAATGGGGACTTGTTGCTCAAGAACAAAGTCACTGTTTGCACAAAAGACAGCATTTGCTCTCTCCCATCCGTTAGTCCATCAGGTAAATAATGCACATGCCAAAACACATACTTAATGAGGTAAATAATATGCCTTGAATAACAGCTAAATCTGTATTTACCTGTGAGACCAGAGAAACTCGGAAGGACCAGATTAGGAGATAATTGCAGATAAGCAGTTTGTGTGCTTCGAGTAAACACACATTTGGTAACCTTCCCTTTCCAAGCTTTTGAGTGAAAGGCAAAAATCAAAGAAGTTGAAATGTTTAAGACCGAGCCAGTGTGCCCACATTGCCAATTCCACAGCATATATGCATCACCCCTGGCTTAAGGCCTTCATGTTTTGAAGCTGTTTGCTTTATTAAAGCAGTGTGCCAGACAGCAGGTACCTCCAAAACCAAAAACGAAGAGACCAACGTAGCATTAAAGGGGCTCAGTTCTACCTATTGCCTTTCCATCTACAGCTTTGGCTGCCATTCATAAATGCATTACAACCAAATAGAAGTACATATATTTACTTCTAACATGTGCCAGATAAGTCATATTTAAGGTAAACATGCTTTAAATCTTCTAACTACTATGAGTCTAAAGGCCCATCACAACAAATACAATCCCTCAGAATAAAGCCACTTTTAAGTTAGTTGAAGGAAAACCTGGTCTTTAGCCTACTGCATCAAGTAAAATACACAGTTGGAGTGGGGGAGGTAGACAGGCCTGTATCAAATACAGGTAATAAAACATGTATTATCCACCCACCCGCAGCAAGATCTCTTCTCTAATGTATCTTAACTGGCAACACCAGGGTATCTGACATGGACCCCATGAATCTTCAGGCTGGGTTGCACTACACACAGTGGTGCAGAGGTTTCTGAGCCACTGAGTCCATGGCAAAGGTAAACCAGGCGCCTTGGCAGGATTCAGGCATATCCCCACGCAGACACAGCAGCATCATGCCAGACCCTGGCATGGCAGGTCAGGGTCACAAAAGTACCATGTGACATCAGCGGAGGGAAGCAACAGCCAACATCCAGTGCCCGTTTACACTACCAGCTTCTGCAATGGTCCATATCTAGCAACAGGATCAGGCTCCCCATCCTAAAAGCAGCCTCCCTCCCCACTCTCCCGTGTGGCAGAGGGAGCAGTGCTCCGAACAAAGGCGCGTGAGTGGAGTATTGCATGTGGATTTCCCTACACAGGCAGCATACAAATAAGGGCAATCCCACTGCAAACTCTGCACCTTCAGCCAAATGAAGTTTTAACGGTATGTTTACCCAGCCACTGCTCTGGTTGCCCTGGGAAGACCTCACATCATCTTCTTTGGCAAGGTCAGAGTGCCTCAGAGCACAAGATAGCTGGTGAGCAAACACACTTTATTAGATGTCATGAAAAGCATTTATAATGGCTATGACAATGCAAAGCACTAGTAATTATCCTGTATTTTTTTCCAAGAGACAACAAAGTAAGCAATGCAGCTTCAAAAATTAAAAACCCAGCTCTAGCCATATAAATCCACATGTTCAGTGATTCCATTTCCAAACCTATATAAAACACCATATATATATTTCTTATACACACAGGATCAGATTATAATCTCAGACAGTGCAAGCTGTCACATCTGGCAGTCAACCCTACTAGGTTAATATTTCATATCACACAGCTCAAATTCCTCACACAGATACGTATGAAATGTAATGGGACCATGAACTGAGGTTGGACCTCAGGAATTATTTTGACAGATTGTACACAGACCTAGGAAAATGTGACAGCACTTTACATTTGCTACACCCAGTAAGATGGGAAATGGCCGTATGTGGTGGGTTTCAGCTGGAAGATAGCATGTGTTCTGTGCTGTGTAACAGCATGTGTCCCATGTGACACATGGCTAAAATCAGCATTTAAAAAATAAATTTTTTAAAAAATCAGCTGCAGGTACCATGACAAGTTCAGGCTGACCACAGCTCTTGCTTCTTTAGCAGTCCAAGCACATGATAGTAAAACACGACAGTTTGATCACCAGTAAGGAAGGAAAGCCAAGAGAAAGGCAAGTGCCAGCTGTAGCCATCAGCTTTGCCAGGGGCCCCACTGAGTGTGAAGCGGAGAATCTGCACTGGCGGCTGTTGCATGCCAGGCTTCCTCCTGGGAAAGTTGCTTAGGGACAACCAAAGCAGCAAGGAACAAGACAGGGAACTCTTGCCACGTGAAGAATGCTGGTGACAAGAGCCAGCAGGGCAGTGCAAATGCTGTCCCCCTGCCTGCAGGGCAGCCCCAAAACCACAGAGAGATGTGCATCACCTAAGCTCCAGATGAGTCAAATTCATCAATGGCAGGATAAATTAGCCTACTACAAACTTGAGCTTAATGACTCCTGGCACATAACATAAATATGAACTTTTTACAAGTACATCTAATTAAAATTACAGTTTGCCTTTAAGCCCAAAATATTCCTCTCTACTTTCCAGTTTGATAAGCTGAGTAGGGAAGGGGCAGGAAGTCAACATCTAACTTCACATTGGCAGGGTGACCCAAGAAATTACATTTTATGAGAGCCTTCACTTACGTGTTAAATTATTTTGGCATTGCAAGACAGCACTCCACCATATCACAAAACAAACAAGAAAACCCCCAACTAACCTAAACTAAATGACAAACTGAAATTAAAAAATAAAAGCAAGCAAGCTCTGGGAGTAAAATGCTTCAGTTTATTATTTTTTGCAAAACCTGGGTAGGGGCAGCTGTGCCTTCTGGCCTCCAACAGACAACTGAACTCAAGGCTAGTGCAACCAAAACCAATCCAAAATGTAAGTCAGGTTTGCCTATTTTATTGAATCATGGAGGAAAAAAGTTATGGAATGCTTTCTGTAGAACGAAATTGCATATATTTAGCAACACCTGGAACACAGTATAACAAAAAATGCAGGGCTTCAATTTTGGTAGCTGTTCAAATGCATACTGAGAGGTCAAATGTGAGCCCATATTTTACTTGTGTGAAGATATAACTGAAGAATAATAGAGATAACTCAGGGTGTTTTTTAATCAACCTTAACCTAAACCTAAGTATTTCATTAGATGAACTACAGTCCAAAAATGACAGCATCTGGCTAGCCTGTGAGGCAGGAAACAAGAGACTATGAACAAGACAAGCTTACCCACTCTCACCACTCAAATTTGCAAAAAAGCCCAACCAACATAAAGTAAAACAAATAACAAAAGACAAAGCTTTTAGAACTGTTTAATAAAGTGACACAATTTTAGACAGGTAAATTTGCTTCTTTCTTTAATTTGTTAACCTCACAGTATCATCACTTGAACATGAGAACAGTACAATTGACGGCTGCACTCCCTTCATGTTTGGCTGGCTTTGTCTCCGGCACTGCTAGACAACCACGCCTGTGTTTTGGAAAATCTGTAATGTCATGGCATGTCTATATGCTGCCCCACCATTACTCAGCCCAGATACAACTTGGAATTCATCATTTTGTTTTTACAGTACTCCACAATCACACCCAGGCTCTTCCCACTACAGATTAGGTGGTCCCTGTTCTCAAGAACTTACAGTCTAAAATTAGAAGCAGTACAAGTGAGGGGAACAACAGAAAAGAATGAGGGGTACAGGAGGAGAGTTGGGCAGCTGCTCATCTGGGAGAAACATGCATCTTGGTAGGTCAACTGAAAAAAATAATTCGCCCTATACAAGCACTGGTTCCCTCTGTATGGTCATTGTGGAAGAGATAAGTGAACATGGAAAAGGCTGCCTAAAGGATGGAGGGCACTCTTGGGTTAAGGAAGGTCTCTCCCATTTCTTGAGCTCATTCTTGCCGCTGGGTTCCTTGGCTGATTTTGTCAAAGGCACGACCACACATGTCAGAGCACCAGAATCTCTTCCATTGTGACATCACAGACGCGATGGCTTGTGAGATCACAATGTGCAAGGCCGAAGGCGCTGATTACTTAGGGAAGCGCTTGCTGGAGCTATGGCACCCTACAAAGCTGGGAAACAAACACATCTCAGTTCACTTGACAACACAGTGAAACCCACATGAGACTCCACACCAGCAGGACATGAATTTCTCTCAACAGACCACCCAGAAGCCGTCCCAAAGATGCACAGTACAATTCCACTCCAATTTTATTAGGCCGCCTCTGCTAGGCAACCCACTTTCGTCAGCTCCTTGACTGGTCTCCTAAGACAGGCTTTGCTGTGTATTTTTAAACCTTCTCCAAGAGTAACTGCAGATGAGTAAACGGGTCTAAGCTGGAGTCTGAAGAAGTTCCACACAGCAAAGGACTGGTCACTTAGAAGAAACGTAGAGAAAGGAAAGAACAAAAATTAAAACAAAGAAGCAATAACAGGGACACATACAGCAAAAGCCAAAGAAGAAGAACAGATTTGCTATTGAGGAAAAGAACCGTTTCACAGGATCAGACCGAAAATCCTCTAGTCCAATCTCCTGCATCTGCCTGGGAGCCATAAGAAAATACACCAGTGTGAAACTACACAAAACGAGGTTAACCAAGCCAATAGTTCTGGGAGGCCAAAAGGAGGCAGGCCTGTCCTTCCATCTCAGTCTTACTTTCCTGCTGATTACGTTACACCAGTTCCTGAGCTTGTCTGGCCCTTCTGTGAGCTGATTCAACCACAGGAACCTATAAAAGGACTAACACGGCCAGAATAAAACACAATTAAAACAAGATAGTTTCCGGCTGGTTTAGTGAGATGAATTAGCTCAGGGCCAAGCTAGATGAATACCAAAGTTCAAAGAAGAGGATGGGCCCACACTGGCAGAAGCAGGAATGAGATGAGCCACCGGGGCTGTTGGTCAAGTCAGCTGCTCACCAAACCATGTA